GCAAAACATACTCTAGTGCACGAGACCTTAAATGGAAACTTTAATACAAACTTTATCTTCTCTTCAATAAAGAGAAGAAATATAGTTTCCAAATCAAGCAACCAAGGTTACCCACGCCCTCGTAGGTAAATGCCCAGCCAAATAGGGTTGGCCCAAAGCATGGCCACTGGGGGCCCAAAGTTTGTCACAGTCTAAAGCATCTTCTGGTGGGGACCCATAAGGAAGGGGCAGAAACAGCCAGATAAGCCTGGAAGGCAAAGAGCAAAATCAAAATTTCTGGAGTCGAGCTCCGGTGAACAGGGTTGAGGAACAGAATCCAAAAGAACCAAGAAACAAAGAAATGACACAAAATAGAGTTTACGAGAAGCAGACGCAGGGGACTCAAGGCTTCTCAGTCCGAGCTCAAGCACCCCAAGTGTCCGGTGCAACTCATTTTTATTGAGACAAACCGCCACTCCCCTCCCTTTTAGGTTCGTTTAGTTACAAGACAATGAGTCATTCTCTTAGATCGCAGTATTGTTCTGGCACACGTCCACCGCCCAGGTTCCCGTTATCAGGGTGTTTTGTTCCCACACCTGTTTCTCCCTCAGACTTAGCTTTGCTGATACGAGGACAGCACGGTCTGGCCCCAGGCCGGTCTTCCAGCCCCTGTTGAAAAGTCTTCCAGTCGTGACCCTGACGCTTTCCTTGCTTCAGCACTTTACACCTCAGGGGTCTCCAACACAAAATCAAGATGAAGGCTGCCATTGTTAACCCCCACACACGTCTTTCACCCACATCTGTTTCAAGTAGCTCCTTCCATGCCGCCCTAGCCCTTGGTACAGGCCCAAAGCCGAGGAGCAGGTGCAGCTTTCTCCCATGTCTCTGCTCCATGTGCCCCCTCCAGGTCTCCTGGCTCTCCCGGATCTTCCTTCCTTCTCCCTGCCTCCTCCAGCTTTTCCTCCTCCCTGCTCAGCTCCACCCTTCCTTGGGCGGGGCAGGGAATCTGGAACCTCCCTGTTCCCTATTAGAAATTGAGGAAAGTAGCATCTCCTTTGCCCCCAGAAACTCCTTTGTGCCCCTCTGCAGTCAATCTCCCCATCCTTGGCAATCACGAATCTTCCTGTCACCATAGATTTGTCTTCCCCCCAGTTTCACGTAAGTGGATTCATACAGTGTATATGTAGGTCACTGGTTTCATAGCTTTCCAGGGCGTTCAAGCGCTGCCTTATACCGCTTCCTGGTGGAACTTCACTTACCACTGATTCATTAAATTGGATACTCAGCTCCAGACACCCATCGGTAGTCTATCTCTGCTTCTACCCACTCTGCTCCGAATGGGGAGGGTAAAATGGGACAAGCAAAGGCAGCACTACTAGGTACCATATAGATCCAGACTAGCAAAATTCCTACCCTCCAGGCGCTTCTAATCCAGGTAAAAAGAGGGGATCTTACATAAAAAGCCAGTAAATAGAAAACCAAGACATTCACTTGGGTTCAACAAGTATTTAAGTAAATATAAGGTGGCTAAGCCAGACTCTGGATTCACACAGACCTTGGTTCAGTTACTGCATCTACCACTCAGTCCAGTAATTTACTATCAGTTTCCCTATCCTAAAAAAGGGTGGTAGTAGCAGAATCTACTGTAGAGGGTTGTGAGGATCAACTGAGATAATGCATGTGAAATAATCAGTACAGTGCCTGGCACATAGTAAGAGCTCAGTAAACATTAGCTGTTATTATTTTTACAATTATTGTATGTGCCAGGCACCTTTCAACACTGTTAGGAGACAAATTAATAGAATGAGTTCCCTTAAGGGCTCTGAAGGGATTCAGTTAAATGCAGAGGTACATAAATTGGGAGCCATGAACTTCCTGGCACTTTTGCTTCAGGGCATTATATATGTCTGTGTGTATTTTTGGGGGTAGAGTCCACAGTTTCTGTCACATTCTTAAGTCTGTGTATGTCCCACAAAACATGAAGGACCCATGGCCTAGGGCATGTATTCTCAGTGGGGTTAATATCACACCCTCTCCCCCTGCCAAAGGGATCAAAACTCTGCTGGGGTGAGGGGTGACCTTAGATATGATAACACGTTGCATCTACGTACCGAGGGAGGGCAACTAGGAAAAAATGTTTCATGGCGGGAGGGGGCAATAACTCACTTGTTTAGTGAATAATAAACAGCTGTGTCAGTACCGAAGCCTACAAGCCGTGCTAGTCTGTTCCGGGAGGTGCTGAGAACAAGTCTGAAAGAAGTGGACGGCAGAGAGATGGAGAGGATGGAGGCTAAGAGTAAAAAATCTGGGCAGGGGCCTCCCTGGTGGCGCAAGGAGTTAAGACGCAACCTATGAAGCTGTCCGCAGCCTCTGCAGCACGGGTTCAATCCCCGGCAGGCCAGGGAGCAACCTACATGGCGCGCAGACCTCTCCTGACTTGCCCGCTGCTCCCCTCAGCAGTGTATTTTGGTCCTTCTGCCTGTTCTGCTCCCCACTCTGGTGAATTCTCTCACCTTCCCGCGCCTCTGGCCTGTACCCCAGCTCTTGTATAAATAAATAAATCTTTAAAATAATAATAATAATAAATCCGCCCTTTTGGATATAACGAAATGTCTCTGCCTCATGGGAGAACTCACCCTGTGCGGCTGAAAGGGGAGCTAATGCAACTTTTCTCAGAGGTCACCTGAGGACTGCGCTCTCTACACCCAAGACCTCTCCAAACTGACATCTGAAAGTTTGGGGGAGTCAAACTTAATGACTAGAGGAGGCACTCAAATTTTGTTGAATGAATGAAAGCTCAGAGAGTCTGAGAATGAATGCCTAAGCAAATAGTGTTTCCAAAGAGAGAAGGAATCCAGCAAAGGCACTCATTTACTCTGTGCTGGTGTGAATTCCTGCTATTAGTAACAGCCAAAAATACCACACAGGAGCTTGTATGAGAAAACGAGCCAGAAATTTGGGCATCATTAGCATAATGGTGATAATCGTTAAGTTAAAAGTCTTCACTGAGGATCAACTAAAAAAGTCAACGCATTAGATAGATGCAGACACAGATCTATCTCCCAGGCCGAGGCTGCTCCGGTGCTGGCCTGCAGGCACCTGGAGCCACAGCTTAGAACCACATAAAGCAACTTTATAGCAGAGCTGTTTGAAAGGCGATCAGTTAATCCCATTATGATTTAGAACCCGGCATTCTCAGGCCCTCTCTCCGTGTCACCCTCCCCGAGCGTCAGCCGCGTATAACCTGGCTTGCACTCACCCCACCCACAGGTCTCACCACTCACCTCAAAGTCAACACACCCCAAACTGTACTTCCCCAACAATCTTCCTTCTACACGTTCATCCTTGACCCCACCCTACCCTTAACTCACTAAATCCAACCTAACAGTCCTTTCAAATACCTCTCCACGCCTCTTCCTCCACGCTCCTCAGTCCTCATTAAGGACATCTGAATTGTTTATAACTAGTAATTCACGAGATGCTTAACTTGTTACCATGCCCCACCTTCATCTCCCTCATCTATTTTCTACATTGCTCAGGATGCAATCCTGTCATTCCCAGCTTAATCTCTAGAGAACTTCCCATCATGGAAACTTCCCAACCGGCATTCCTTGGTAGGCGTTCAGATGCTAAATCCCTGGCACTTGGGGCTGCTACGTGGAGCATGGGGCAGCTAGAATTCCTGAGCCAAAGGCCTGCGGCCACAAAGCAGCTGCCTCCCTTTGCCTCACTGTGCTGTCTCGAAGGGTTCTGTGCTGTGGGAAAGAGCTGAGCAGTGACCTGTGGGCGCTCCCTAACTGGCACTGACCTCATTCTGCTTCCAACACCGAATTGCTTTCACGCCTTACACACGGTGCTATTTGTCCATCTCTGACCCTGCTCAGACACTTCCCGACTATTTCAGATGAGCTTTGTTTTCTTCTTTGCCTAAAAACTTCTACCTTCCTTTAATATTGGGTTTTCCACCCCAGGTTAGAATCCTTCCTCATGTTCTCAAATTATTTTGTTTCATAATACCCTCTTGGGTGTCAATCTGTCCCCTGCTCACCTTCGTATCCTCAGTTGCCAACGCAGAGCGCGCGCAGGTGCCAGGAATCTTCCATGTATTGGGGATGTTGCAAAAGAACAAGGGGGCCAGGATCACCTTGCCTTTCCTAGAGTTTAGGGAAGTTCATGGTTACCTAAGCCAAGAGCCTGAAGGGGTGATAACAGGATTAAATGAGGCAGGATTAAAAGGAAAAGAGCCACCGGTCTTGGTCTAGTCACTAAGTGTTTGAGCACGGATTTAAATGTGCGGGTCATAAGGCCTGCAAAGAACTGGGGGAAAACGTAGGGATAAGGTACAAACCCTTACAACAGAAAATCAAGCTTTTCTGAGTTTTTACTCAATTTCAACTTTTGTTCTGTAATTATGTGAGATTTATATGGTTCCAACAAAACCATCTCAACAGTCTGCTCAGAAAAATCCAGCTTTGCTCCACATCCTTCCTCCCCCAGTGATATCAACTTCAATTCTGTTTTAAGCACGTACACCTGTGGAAGCCTCATGTGCCACCGGTTCGATAGGGTGGCGCCCTTCACTCAGCTCTTCGTAGACCCTGAGTTTCCTCCACAAGCCAATGCAGTCGTCCGCTCCTTTTCAGCGCCCAGCACTTCACCTGGCAGGGGAGTCGGCCCCACCCACTGCTACTGCAGGGAGGCTGCGCTGAACACTGTGGGTGTCACTTCCCGTTTCTGTCAGCATATCTCCGGGAACTTTACTTCTATTTCCACTTATCCCTCAAAATGACCCAAAGTCATATATTCTGGTCTCCATCTTATAAGCTAAATACAAGCATCATGCAAGGAAACAGCATTTGCAGTGCGCAGCAACCCAGGAATTCCAGCCACCTGTTACAGAGTAAGCCTGAGAAACAAGAAATCAGCACCCTCACTCACACCTCACCACTCTCCCAGTATACTGACATCACATCTTAGGAAAAGGACATTTACTTTTTGAAGAAAAAAGACCACAAAGTATAAACAAGAAGCTTGACTTTACTTTCTCTGTGCATTTGTAAAACACTCAGGACCAACATAGAAAAAAATAATAAAACCTCCTGTGAAAAGATTTGTATTTAAAAAAGGCCTAAGAAGAATTAGTACTTTAGCCCCAGGGAGCTACAGCAACTCCAATTGGTCCAAGGAACTGAAAAAGACAGTGGGAGAATATAACAGGAGGAAAGAAAGACAATAAGAAATTACTGAGGGAGAGGGCCTCGAAGTGGGCCACGAGGGGGAACTGGAGGCCGGGGGGTGGGCCTGGGTGGAGGAAGGGGCCCACGCTGGTAGCCGTAGGGCGGGGGCCTCGGGGGCCCGGTGTATCCATGAGGTGGCATCAGGGGAGGAGGGCCGCGCATGCCGTGTGGAGGCATAGGACCTGGGTGACCTGCAGGAAGAGAAAGAAAAGCTGGTGAAAGCCAGAACAGGCAACAGCTGATGTTGGAGAATGTCAAGAGAAGGCTGACAGGGGTAGAGAGAAGAACATCAAGCAGAAGAAAGCAAGTGCAGGGACAAAAGGTAAGACGAGGAAGCTGTAAGAATACGCTCTAAAAAGCTGAGGGAGGTGGCGAGAGCCTACTCACCCATGGGAGATCCAAATGGGGGGCCTCGGGGAGGCATGCCCATTGGAGGAGGTCCAGGATGAGGCATTCCAGGTGGTGGTCGGGGTGGTGGCTGCCCCCCAGAGCCGGGGGGCCCAGCATGCGGGTGTCCTAAGCCATGAGGCCCATGATGAGCCAGCTGCATCTGAGACATCCCTACAGGAACAAAGCAGACAATGAGAAAGGAGACCAAGGATGACAGAGAAAAGGGCAAAATTAATGGAGAAAGTTACATCAGCATAAGTACAGAATGTAAGTCTGGCACAAAGCACCCTATCCTTGACCCTACTCCAATGGTACAAACCAACCCAGTACCCACTCAACTCCTCACCCACTTCACTCACTGTTTCTACAACCCAAGCACTGGAACAGGGCCGCAGGAGCACATTACCAGTGCAGTGATTACTCTAGTAAAATGATTTGGGAAGGTAGTGGCGATACTACCTGAGCAAAAATCCAATTCCAAAGGATAAGTAAGAACTTTTCAGGTGGACAAGAGAGCAGGCAGGAAAGATTAACACATGAGAATCGCAGGTATGCCCAACACCACAGTATGTTCAAGAAGACCAGCAACTCAGCAATCAGGAGCAGCCCCGGGAGCTGCCCTCGCTAGGGCGGGTCAGACCATGAAAAGCCTAGAACACTACCTAACAGGTTTTACTCTGTAGGTAGAAGACAGCAAGAGAAGAATGTTAAGCAAAAACATTTGTGTTTTTAAAAAACAACTGAGGAGTGGACTGAAGATAGAGGACACTGGAATCAAGGTGTCAGGAAGTCACTACAGTGAACTCAATTTCAAATAACGAGGATAAGAAGGGAGGGCCTGACCCGGGCACAGGCGGGAGGGGTTCCTGCCAGACTTTAGTAAGATCAGGATCCAGAGCAGAGGGAGCGCCTTTCCCCAGCAAAGAACACCGACCTGGGTGGGGCATTCCGCCCGGCGGGAATGGATGCGGATGTGAATGTCCATGTCCAGGATGTCCAGCTCCTGGGGTTCCTGCGGATGGGGGGCCATGGCCGCCAGCCCCAGGAGGCATAGGTGGCGGCGGCATGGCCGGGGGTATCCCAGGTGGAAGGGCTCCAGGAGGCGGCACTGGGGGTGGGAAGGAGCCAGGAGGAGGCATGCCTGCAGCGGAAACAAAAGAGTCAACGACGGTGAAGAGAGACTATCTCTAGAGTCTGTTCCACTCTGGCTTGTCCAGAAGTACGAGCCCTTTCTCTTTTCTCTCAAAAGTCAGAAGCAACGTTAGGCATCAACCTTAGATCTCCTGGAGAAACCCAATTTTATTCCCTACTACAATCTTCACCACACCAACCACTAACGTAACACCCCCTTACCAGGTTTTCTTTCTCCTTCCTACTATTTCTACCCATCCCAAGACAAATTTGGAACCAACAATTTTACCTGGTGGAGGAAGGCCAGACCCCAGTGAGGACACCACAGGATTAGGAGCAGAGGGTGGAGGCGGAGCATCTGCAAACAGCTGATGCGGGCGGTCAGCCTGGGAGAGTGGGTTCTGGGCTGCCAGAAGTCGCTCAGCCGCTGAGCCATGGCGCTCACCCTTGGAGTCCTTCTTGAATGCGTAGGACACAGTGATCGGGCGGTTACAGAGGTACTGCCCGTTCATGGCCTCAATCGCCGCATCCGAAGCATCAAATGAAGCAAAATTAATAAAGGCATAACCTTTGGAGTTGCCTGTGTCAGGGTCCCGCATAATCTTTGGGGTTTGTAAGATGACCCCAAACGCGCTGAAAGTATCGTAAAGCAGCTTCTCATCAATCTCCGGGTCCAGGTTCCCAATGAAAATGTTGGCCCCCACATCCAGGTTTTTGTTGTGAGCTGATGCCTTATTCACCCGAATTGGCTTCCCATAGAGTTTGATCATGTTCATGATCTTAATGGCATAGTCAGCATCTTCCTCACTCAAGAACTCCACGAAACCATAGCCTGGGGAAGCAGAAGGGCAGAAGGTGACTTAAGTGACATCATTCAAAACGGGGCAAACAAAAATCACTTCAGTTGAAAATGATTCCAGAAACAAACTGAGCTAAGCTTAAAACAAATCTCCAAGCTGCTCTTTCCCAAACAGTTGTGAATACTGCCCCCACCCTCACCCAGCAGTCTGTTCCCTCAACACATCAAGACCCCCTCCTGCCATCGACTCACCTTGGTGCTGACCAGTGACCCTGTCCTTCGGCATGTGGGTGTTGACCACCGGCCCCGCCTGGAGAAACAGCTCCCACAGCAGGGGCTCGCTGACCTTCTCATCCAGGCCCCCTACATACACAGTGGCATCTGGGGGGTGGGAGCGGAGGTTAGGGCAGAGGAGAGCACGACGGGAGGGTCACAGGAACACGAGGATGGAACCCAGGCGGAAGAGTTGGGGAAGAAACAGAAAAATGGGGGTGGGGGGAAAGGTTAGATTTAAGCCCTGAAGCTCCCTCCTTCCCGCAACTAGCGGGTCCCCTGGGGTCTGATTTAGAGCTCCGCCGCAAGTCCTGCCCTTGGGAGGGTTCTGGGTGGGGGTGGGGGGAAGGCGGCGGGGATGGGGCACAAAACATCACGCACAGGCCTCGGCCCGCGGCCGGCCACCCCGCCCCCAGCAGGCACCGGGCCGCCCCGCTTCCTCGGAGACCCGGCCCCCGCCCCGGCGGAAGCACCGCTGGCTCTAGTCGGGGCCTCCCCGCCTCCCCGAGCCCATTACGGGCTCGCTTCCTTCAGTTACCCTGGTTCCTCTCCGAGATGGGCCCGGCAGCCATGGCGAAACCGCTCCCGCCGTCTCCTGGCAGCGATCCCGCCCCTGACCTCACGGCTTCCACTTCCGGGGCGAGGGCGGGCCGCGGTGGGGGCGGGACCGGAAGGGGCCGCGGCCATTTTAGGAGCCCTCGTCCCCTGACGCGGTGGAGAGGGCGGTTGCGTCGCGGGTCGCCGCGGGCCCTCCTAAGTCGGGGCTGGACGCGGCCGGGCTCCCAGAAATGTGAATGCGGGAGCTACAGGAACAAGACTTGACTTTTCTATGTTTCAGAGTGGGAGGCTGAGGAACCCCCAAGCCCGCGGCCTGGTGCCCTTGAGGAGGCCTTGCGCCACTCGGCGCGCGACCTGTGGCTGAGGCGGCCTAACCACCGCCCTTCTCCCCCTCCCCCCGGCCTGGGGCTGGTACTTTGCCTCCCCTCGGGGAGGGGGTGCGGACTGTCTAAGGTGGAGTGACGGCCGAGCCTGCCAGCAAGAGGAGGGAGAGGTCGAGTGTGGCCAGGACTGAGGGGCTGCGCCCGGAGACCCCAGTCTCGGTCTCCGTATCGCCCCCGGCCCGGGACAGCGCCCTGCGGGGCCCCAAGTAAATTGACCGAGGCAGAACTAAGACGCCCACGGGGCCCCCACTTCAGAGCTGGGGTAAACCGGCCGTCGGCCCCCAAGTGGGAGGCTCAAGAAAGGGAAGCGTCTCCTGGGTTACACGGATTCTGGGGGCCGCACCCACCCCTCATGTCCTACGGCGGCACAGCGGGCGCCTTCCCTGCGCCCCGTTCCCCACAGCCCCGACCCAGGGTCTTTGATTCAGGCACAAGGAGCAGTGTCAGCCGTGTCCATAAATACTGTGCTTTAATGAGCTCCTTAAATAGAAATGTCTACAAAAACACACTACTAGATGGTGTCCCGCGCCCACGGGAAAGAGAAACTGGGTTGAAGCCGCAGCAGGGGGTGGTGAGAAGGTGCGCGGGCCCCAAACGCCACTTGGGGCCGACTGGCAAGAGGACAGCGGCCAGCGGCTCTCTAGAGGGGCCAAACTGTCCTGGGGCAGTCGCACTGTGTTGTTTTTGTTAGTTTTCATTTTATGATTCTTCCAATCCCAAGAAAATTATGTGAGAGAGAGAGCGATCAGACGGGACAAGACTTGGAGGTTTTCACCACCTGACTCTGCAAAGCCAAGTCAGTAAGTTTGAGGACCAGAGTGTGACATCTGAGGCATCAAGACCTCATGAAAACCAAAGGCTGCCACAACCTTCCCTTACCCCAGACTGCCCTCTGCCTGCCCAGGGGAAAGTCAGCAAGTTCAATAGGACTGGGAGAGGATGGTGTTGGGGTCTCTTCTCTTGGAGGAATCCTCAGGAGATATTCTTGGCGTCCATCTCCTTAATAGCTCCTGAAGGTGGGACAGCTCATCCTGGAGGCCAGAGACTGTGGGGGCTGAGAGGCCCATCTGGGGAGGTGGTGAAGAGGCAGAAGCCGGTATTGTTGCAGCCCTGGCTCTGCTGCTAGCATCTGCCTGCTGCTCCTCGCATTTAAGTTATCTTGCCCAACTCTGCCTTCCATTCGACTAGATGTAACTCTACTTTCTTCATTAGGCTTGGAACTAGGCCTTAGGGCTGAGTAAAACTGGCTTAGGGAAACTTGTAAAATGTGCGCATGAGGAGGAAGACTAATAAACAGATGAAGGGGGACAAAAAAGTTGCCCTTATGCCCTCCTAGGGTTTCTGTCTTCCTGGGAACAGTCAGGACTGTGAGAGGTGTAAGCCTCAAGTGTTCCTCTTTCCTGACTCCCAAAACCTAGCCACTTGGACACCAGAAATAGTGCTTCCCAATCCCCCCAACTCCTTGCCTTCCTAGCTCCTGGAAACAGCTGGTTTCTCCTAGAACATCTGGTTCAGCAGGGAAGCCCTTCTCCCGCTCCTTATCCCCTTCTTACCTGGGCCTCCGGCCGTCCCCTCAGGTAGCAGCGTCTCCAGAACCTGATCTGTGGTCCCAGATAGCCAGGTAGCAGCAGCCCCGTGGGTAAAGGGCAAGCACCCCAATGTGAGGGGAGCCCCCACTCCTGGTCAGCCAGGCTTTCAGAGGAGATAGCAGGCCGAGGGAGCCAACGAGAAGAGACTGCCATCAAGGAGGGACTGTCCCGCCAGGGGCAGAGCTGATTCAGCGGAGTCAGGACCCCTCTAGAGAAGAGCCACATGGAACTGGGAGGCCCAGGAACCATGAAACTTGGCTGAAGAGGAAAGGGAAATCAAATGACCCTCTAGTCACCAGAGGATCCCAGTTTCCCCAAAGTAGGTCAGGAAGAAACGTCCAGCTGCCACCCAGCCACTGTATTAAAATCACACTACAAACCACCCCGAGAACACTTTACTCCTCTCAGTAGGCTTCAAACTGGCCTTGGAGTGGAGTAAAACTGGATTAGGGAAATTTGTGGAATGTGTGCATGAGCCAAGAAGACTAGTAAACCTGGGGAGGACAAAAAGGATGCTCTCGTGCTACCTAGAAGGACCCCCATCTCCTGGGGACGGTCATGGACTGTGAGTGAAAGCTGTAGAGGAACCGCAGGGGTAGCTTTCCCTGGGAAGTTCAGACACTATGTTGTTCCACCTCACCCCTCTAAAAGGATGAGCCTGTGAGGAAGTCAGGGGAATCTGGGAAGTTTAGACACCTCACCTGCTGTCTTGGGAGCCAGGAATCTGGGTGGTGTTCCGGGTCATAGCCAGGATTACGGAACTGTAAAATCTGTTCATTGCTGTAGCGCAATTCCCAGTCCCAGACAGATGGCTGCAGGTTAATCGAGTTCCCAGGTGGGAGCTGGGAGTACCCTGGGGTGTAGACTTGTGTGTAAGATTTGAACTAGACAACAGAAACAAGACAAAGAATGGTTAAGCAAACAAAAATACATAGTTCTCCCAAGACTAGAGAGAAATCATGAGTCTCCCCTCTTACGCCTGGAATCAGATACAGCGTGAAAGTACAGTCCTGAGATTACACACCAACCACCCCCTCTCGCACCCACAGGCCTCACTTTTCATAATTCTAGAGCAAACTTCCAAGAAAATGTCTCAGTGGGGGGGAAAAAAAGGCCAAGTCAAAAATGAAAGTCACTGACCTGTGCACTTTGCTTTCCACGCTCCCAGGGAGTATCTCTCAAGAATGTAAGGGTATCGGGAACCCTGACACTATCGTGAAGCGCAAGTAGGAAAAACTCAGAGAATTCAAACTCAGCTGGAAACTGCTGGAGGAGCTGCCAGGCACAATCAAGGAAAAGGAGAAACACTGGGGCCTGGGAATAGGGAAATTAAGAGGTTGAAAGGGATTGTGAGAATCTGAGGGGAACAAAATGATGGGGGATGAGGGACAGAAGGAACAGGAGCCGTTAAGGAGAACAGGGAGGGCATCTCTGGTGGCGCAAGGGGTTAAGATGCAACCTATGGGGCTATTCGCAGCCACTGCAGCACGAGTTCAATCCCTGGCCAGGGAGCTACCCACATGGTACAGCAGACCTCTCCTGACTCGCCCGCTGCTCCCCTCAGCAGTGTATTTCAGTCAGTCTGCCTGTTCTGTTCCCCACTCTGTCTCTGGTGAATCCTCTCACCTCCCACACCTCTGGCCTGTACCCCAGTTCTTATATGCATAAATACATCTTTTTTGAAAAAAAGGGGGGACAGGGAGTAGAAATCTGATGAGGGGAGTAGAGGTTGTGGCACCTTGCTCATCTGGGTCTCCCCTTTAAGCTCAGCCTAACCTCGGGACTCTTCTGACCTGGTCCCCCCCCCAAAGGACTATACTATATAATTGTGTCACCCCCTTACTATTGTAACATCCCCCAATACGCTCCCAAATGTTCTCACCTCTTCAGTGGCTCCAGCTCCCCCAAGTCGGGTCAGGAAGGGATGTCCAGCTGCTACCCACTCTCGCTGCACTAGTGACTGGAAGCCGAGCAGTGTTCGAGCTTCAGGGACTGAAAGCAGCTGGACGAGTGAAGAGAGGAGGCCATTGAAATCACGATCACCGCGCTCTGGGTGATAAAGAGGGAGAAGGGACAAAGAAGGAGGGGCCAAGAAACTAGGGCAGAAGAGAAGGGGGAAAGGAAACATGGCAAGAAGTGAGAGGCACAGAGGAGGAGTTTGGGGTAGGTAGGATCGAGAGGACACATAGAAGTGAAGAGAAAACAAAGACCTTGAATGATTCACTTCACAGACTCCTGGATAGACACCCCCGGCGCCACATATAGGAGGCAAACTAGTTCCCACACTGCCCTCCCACCCCAAGCCCAGCCCCGTCCATCATGGAAGAACAGGAAGAGAGCGCTGAGAACCCTCTCATGGACAACAGGTGTGGTGGGGAAGCAGAGGTGGCACCAAAGGACAAGTTAGAGTTTGTGGGTTGTTCCTAGTGACAGAAGAGGGGTTGCTGGCACTAGAAGGGGACAAGGAAGCCTTATAGTTCTTCCGGACAGAATCCAGTCAGGTGGGCAAAAAGGCAAGGTACGGAGTAGGCTGACCCACGGAACTCACCTTGAAGTACTACAGAGCGAACCCTGGATGTCACTAAAACTGAAATGTCACTGGCCTTTCGGAGACAAGACCTGGGGAGGCAGGTGAGGAGGGAAGAATGACACGCCCGAAGGGAGAAGGGCTGCATCATGGACAGGCTCCACGATCCTGCCCCTTCTTCCAAGGAGTGACAACTCTTGGGAAACCAGGAACAGGAATCCGTGGAAGGCCGTCGAGTCCAAGTCAACAGGAGGCTGGGAGGGCTGAATGATAACTTGTGACTAGAAGAAGGGAGTACCTGACGTAGTCCAGCCACCGTGTTCCTTCCAGCGCTGAGAACCATTTATCCTCAGGTACAGATGAGTCTGCAGAGTGAGGAGAGCGGGGGGTCAGGAGGGCAAGAGAGCAGGAGAACTCAGGATCCAGGTCTACAGCCTGAAGGGTTAAGAATAAGTTGGGTAGCGGCTGCCTCAGACTGGGCTTAGGAATGAGAAGCAGCTGTGAAGAGCAGTAAGTTTTCTACAATTACATTGTGAGAGCTGTACAACATCGTAGACAGAACATCCA